ACTTTTCGAATAAAAGATGGAGGGGGTTTGGAAAATCCCCCCCCCCCCCCCCCCCCCGCCATCCCCTCCAAAAGATAAAAATATAAACAGAAATAATCGACTAAAATAAATAGAGAAGCGCGTGAACACTGCTCGGTACATCAAATTTCCAATTAGCGTTCGAAAAGGAAGGGAAAGGGGCCCTTTTCTTGAAAGGCCTGGTAACTATTCGGGTTCGAAGGCAAATTTCGAAATTAAAACCATAGTAGTAAAGTTCCTAGCTGACAAACCGCTCAATTTTGCTTCGTTGACTGATAATTTCATTGTGTCGTTTTCCAAATTATTGAAACTTTGATCTTGAATGCGAACGCGATAAACACAAAAGCGCCTTTCGGGCCCCAAAAGCTATCGGGACTTTCCAGAAACCAGTGACAGGCCAGGGGCCCGTTTCTCGAAAGTCCCGTTAACTTTTCGGGCCCGAAATCAAATATTCAAATCGAAATAAAAAGAATAAAGGCGAGGGTCCTTGCTAACAAACTACTGCATTTTGTTTCGTTAACTGATAGTTTTATCATGTTAGATGAGTGTTGAAACCTCGATCTTTAATGGAAACCCAGGAAACCCAGACAGCTTACCGGGCCCGTTAATTTTTCGGGACTTCCGAGAAACGGGTCCCTGGGGCCCGTTTCTCGAAAGTCCCGATAATTAACGGGCCCGGTAAGATGCCTCCGTTTACATTAAAGATCGAGGTTTCAATAGTTTTGCATCTAACACGATAAACCTGTCAGTTAATGAAACAAAATGGAGTAGTTTGCTAGCCAGGACCCACGCCCTTATTCTTTTTATTTCGATTTGAATATAAAGAATAAGAGCGCGGTTCCTAGCTAGCAAACTACTCCATTTTGTTTTACTAACTGACAGTTCTATCATGCGAGATGCAAAACTTTTGAAACCTCGATCTTTAATATAAACGGAGACGGCTTACCGGGCCGTTAATTATCGGGACTTTCGAGAAACGGGCCCCTGGCGGGATACGTGCCTTGGGTAGGTACGTCATGTATGGAATGTTGATACAAATGCCATTCAGAAATGATTCACAGCGCCGAAACCTGATAACCAAGGTAAGAAAAGGTGTTTCAGTGCATGATATATCCATATTACATGACTTAAATGACAGAATTGATTCATGCAGAAGAGGCGTCGGAGCGTTTTGAAACGTTGGGGTGCTTATCTTCCACTCAGCCATACGTATATTTTCAAAGTACCCTTTGCGTTGTTCGTTGGCACAAGCAATCTTCAGTGTCTAGTGTGTCCGTTATCGCATTGTGACAATGCATCACTTGGCAGTTGTTCAGGCGGTCCTGCTTCATTGTGCTTCTTAGGTAGTTCTTGAGTCATCTGAGCTAGGCAGAAAATGTTTACTCTGAAGCAGGACGTTGATAATTTCGATGGTCGATTAAAATCGATCGTTGTCGTTAAATTAAATTAAATGTCGATACTAATTAATTGACAGATATCTGAATTTCATGTGATTATTGATTCCTATCGAAATTGGTGTTAGAGTTCGATTATCTGAAATTAAAAAATTGATCAAAAGCAACAGTCAAAATATTAACATCTGTTTTGCGCCATCATTAACTCAGACGAAGGACTTTCTTAAAAGTCTACTTGAGCTTTTGCAACATTCGTCTCCAGATTCGTTCAAACAGTTTTAATATCTGTTTGTAAATGCGTAGCATCCGTGTGCATTCGAAGACTGCAACCTCCAAATCCTTCTCCTGATGCAGCATTTGTGTACAGTTTGCGTATTAAAATTCTCATCAGATATTCTCTGAAAACTCTCAGAGGTTTTAACCGAAATTGATTACCTGTCCTGAGAATATTGTGATTA